GAAAACTATTTTGATCGGAAGGTGATTACATCAAAAAGCAATTTGACTGGTAAATAAATTTAAAAAAGGGATGTGATCCTATATTCGGACGTATATAGTGTAATAGCAGGAGCATCAATTGATACTGATAGCTCGACTTTGTTTGTTTGTCGACGTAATGAAAATTTGTCTTGCTATCAACTTAAATAAACAAAACGTTGATTATTCTTTTCTCGCCAATAGAGGGTAAATTACCAGCATCATCGGATAGGCGAAACATTCACCTACCTAAAGATGGTATTAGTTTGCATTGACGATCCTTGCGTCACGAGAAAACGGTTTCCGACGTATTGTTCGCAATAGCTGATGTGCTATTTTCTGTTGCTGGTCGTGATTTGGTTGGTTCCGCTATTTGACAGCTCAATTGGTTCTCGAGATTCTATCCGCCAGACTGAATATAGTGACTATAATAACACCTCTGTGTTTAGAGAGAATAATTGATGGCGTTATGAAAGGGAGCAAAACGAGAGAGAAGGAGAAGATGGGAAGAAAGGAGGTGAAGGTAGATCAGTTTTATTGTGGAACAAAAGGATAAAGGATTAATGTGATTTTAGAGAATGCAGGGTGGCCACTGAACCGGAAAAACCGGGACCGGGAATCGTAAACTACCGGGAAATAACCCGGAATTCGATTGGAACTTTAATATGTAATTTTTTATTAATATATATTCAAAGTCTGATGTCTAGAAAAATATTCTATTTTAGAATTTTGAAACCAGCCATAATCTGGAAAAGTTTACATAGTTGAAGATGCTAATTTCGAATAACAGACTGAAGTTGTAATTTTTATACGATAGATGAGGAGGAGATGAAAGTATAGAATTATTTTTCTATACACAAATGTCTCCATAAAAGTCGGAATTTTGTGCAGGAAACTTTAGTAAGGCCCTCCTGTATACTCTTGAAATTAACTTTACAAGAATTTTTTTTCAATTTCTCTACATTACAATTCGCTTGGAATATTCGTGGAAATTTAGTGGTAAGCCATTTTGAACTTAGAAAAGTGTTATTCCAAAATTTTCGTTGATTTCACTAAACTTGGAAATTTCTTTAGAATCTCTTGGAACACTCCTCAGAGTTTCTTTGGAAATATGCTCAAAATTTCAAAAAAATGAGCTATCTAAGAGTTGTTTTTATCTAGTTCGTTTATTTTTAAGGCTCAATCGCGTTAGCTTTACGGAGCCGATAATTCATTGTTCTTTGTTTGTAACAAAATTCACTTAATTCTATGTCTAGCAGGAGTTGGGCCGAATACTCGCGGCTTACTCAAGGTTAGAGGGGTACACTGTCGAAGGATAGGAAAAGGGGAGGAACTTAGGGTAGGGTTTCGTTGTCTGATCAGAGCGATGTCGCCAGTATGAACGGTAGTGACCAGTGGGCGACGATGAGACTTATCGAGACGGGGTACAAGACAAACAAAAACTGATAAAGAGATACAAAAGACAAACGAATTAAATTCTTATACTAGACATTTGCAGAGTCTATTTAAGAGTTAGATTCCATTGGAATTATTATCCATATTTCGTCGCAGCTCTCCTCAAATTTTCTCTTTCAATAATCGATCGATCATCATTTGAGAGTTTTTCAGTCGTAGGGTATCTTTAAGTGTATTTTCAGGATTATAGTTATATCATCATTACATTTGTCTCATGATTAATTCAGTTTGAATCCCCTCCCTGAAATGCTCCATGAAATTCCTTCCTATTTGCTTTTGAGTTCCCTTGAATACTACTCATAATCCCCAAAATTGCCTTTTCGGATCTACCTTAGAATTCACCTGTAGTTAACTTTACAATATTCTTGAAATACTTCTCAAAATTACCTGAAATTTCTATTTAAATTCCAAAACAAATGTGATCAGTTTCAGGCCGAATTGGATAAAATATTTAAAAGATACTAGGCCTTCTCCGATTTGCATGAAACTTTTCATAATTGTGTGTTATTGAAGATCACATTTCAATATTTTGAGGGCTAGGTCAGTTTTCACATTCTGGATCTTGGACAACATTTTAGGATTCTGACACATTTGAAAGCCTTGGGAAGAGAATGCCACATGTGCTACTCCACGCCAAATGACGAATCGGAAAACTCGAACTTTTCCAATTTGCATAAAACTTTGCATTATTGTGTGTTATGGACAATCATTTACATTTTTGAAAAAATTCGGCCATTTTGGATCGTCCTATGTACTGTAGTTCAAAATGGCGTCTTTGATATTTTTAAATGAATTGTAGCACTAAAAAACTACAAGGGTGACAATGGTGACGTAGGACTACGTGGTCTTATATAATAAATCTTATTTGTTTGTGTTTGGAGCTTGTGTTTTGCGTAGGAATAGGACTTTGAGCGGGGTTCTCAGCGACTCACGAAAAGCTACTGATGCGGCTTCTTCCTTCTTCTATAGATGCTCATGTGGGCTTCAGGTCGGTGCTTGCAGGCAGCATTTCGTTGTGTACTGGAGAACACCACAACTCACCAGGCGCTGATTAAATAAACACCGTTTGGTGAGACCGGATGAAATTCAACTTTGAAATCTGTGTTAGGGAAATCACTTTTCGTAGGGAATCGGTAATCATAGCAACAGTTGCACATTCGTGTTGTTTCCAATGGTGACATTTTGAAGAATAATAAAGTGTTAATCAGACCACTTTCAAGCCACGAACGACTTTGGTTTTTTTTTAAATTGCACCCCCAATGTTGCTTTAAGTAATACCATGTTAGATTTAAACATATCTAGATAGAGCTGGAATTAGGCGTAACAACTTTTATAAACAATGACTTCTCTCGATGATTTTTAGGAATTCAAGGCACGCCCACGCAAACAAACATTACCATCGGGTAGGGGAAGTCTTACCCTAACTGATGGTGATGTTGATTTGCGTGTGCAAGCCTTGACTTTCAAGATATCATCGAAGGAAGTCATTGTTTACAAAAGCTGCTACGCCCTAATTCCAGCTCTATCTATATATCTATATGGAAACTGACACATGTCCAAAAATTACTCTTTTACAAATTTATGTTGGTCCTGAACAGCACTATTTTGTCGTAATGGTTGAGTAATGCTGAGCTATTGGAGTGATCAACACGGATGAGGCTAGCGAGATGTATGTTGTTTGAAACGAGAGTGACGGGCTTGGCATAGATGGCCCCAGTGACTCACGAGGAGCTACTGCTGCAACTTGCTGCTTGCAGGCAGCCTTTCGTTGTGTACTGGAGAACAATGTTTAACGCCACGTGCCGAAAGCACTGCTGCTGTTGCTGCTGATGCCGACGACCGGACACCACCACACACGGTGATTGAAACTGAATCCGATCAGCGGTTGAGGCCAGCCTTGATAGCTAGCTGCTTGAGGGGTGCCTTTCGTTGTATACCGGAGAACACCACCACTCACCAGGCGGTGATTGAATAAACACCGTTTGGTGAGACAGGATGGAATTCAACTTTGAAATCTGTGTGAGGGAAATCGCTTTTCGGGGATAATTTTAATTAACTTAGCAACAGTTGCACATTCGTGCAATTTTCAATAGTGACATTTTGAAAAATGAAAAAGTCTTAAATTAAACAGATGCGTAGGAATATTTCTGATAGATTGGTGATAAAATTATTGAAATTGGTCCAGGCGCAGCTGAGTTATTAACGTTCAAAATCTTGCATAAGTTTGTTACATATTCCATTTTTGGTTTCCACAAAGTGTACCCCTAAATAAAAATCACAGACGTAGTCCTACGTCAAAACCATCACTTCTGACGGAAAAGGCGAGACATATCCCAATTGATAAGTCTTTAGTGAGATTGACACTGATGAAGACTGCACATTGTAGTCGAAATCAAGGTGGCAAAGACTCATTTCAGCTAAAATAATGTTTTTCGGAATAATAAAACCAAAAGATGGTATGATGGCATGTTTTACTTGTAACTTACAAGAAGAGGTTACAAAGTATGCGTTTGAAACATAAAACCTGTAAATTTTGCTTTGTATGAGTCACAATCAGCGATTTGCTGATCGCTGAGTGAGTGAGTGAGTGAGTGAGTGAGTGAGTTTGTGAAAAATCGCTGATTGTGACTCTCATGAAGTGAAATAAACAGGTTTAACATGTCAAACACATTCTTTGCAACCTCTTCTTGTATCCTACCAATTCAAAATTTGATCATGGCATCTAATTATTTCATAATTTAGAAAAACATTGTTTTAGCTGAAATGAGTCTTTGCAACCTTGGTCGAAATACGTATCTGTCAAGGATACCAAAATTAATTAAGTGGAATGGAATCTTTTTTCTAATACCGACTTACTTTTAAAAGTTGATGAGTTCATCCAGTATTATGAAAATATGGGTAGTTTGCTACCATTTGCATTGAAAAACTCAATTTTGACAAAAACGACTGTGGGACCGACATTCGAAGAGCGGCAGTATATTAAATAACTTTTCTTACAATCCGGCATTTTTAAGCAGGACTCATTTGACACCTGCGGTTATTATTCAGTGCCAAATCTCTATCTCTATTGTGATTTTTCACTGGAAGCCTGGACCTATGGCCCTCTTCTGTGCTTGAAACCGAAAACGAAAACGGTCTCTTGAAGGTACCGGATTCTTCTTCATGCCATAAAACGATCCTGGCAAAATATTCTCTACATACTTTCAATGCAGTGTTCTATTGAGTATTTTGAGTTAATAATAATGAACTTTCTTAGCCTGCCATCGCATGACTTGTGTAATGTGTGACGCCGACGCTAGTATAATTTATTTTTTATTACTGATTGCCCCACGACTGCGACCCACCCGTTGCCCTGAATATCATGCATACAAATTAACTCTCAAGGACATTATTCACCCCCAGATGGGAATAGGAAATGAAGACGTACGACACCTCACATACAACCAAGCACCTCTGCAATGGAAGCCTGCAATATTCATGCCAAGTTGATGTAAAAATTGATTTCCACTCTCCTTTCTTCCCTCCAGGTTGGCCGTGCTTTCTCCTTCAACAAGACCCCGTCGAAGCTGAAACGTGCCGTCTCAACGATGATGACATCCCCCTTTGGCAGTACCCAATCGCTGACCCCGGCCTCCCAGTTGGCGCAGATGAAACTGGCAAGCTGTACGAACATAAACGTATGCATTTCACCCAAGCACATCCCAAACCCTCAGCACCATGATCCCCTTGTTTGAAACCGTCTCATTATGTACCGATCTTGGGTAAAATAATTTTCGGTTTTACTGAGGCGCTCTATCTCTATGGCCTTTCTTTTCGTGCCAATGAAATTACAAAAGTCTCAAAAAATTATTCCCCTCATTAAAGCCGAAAATGGTTTTCACGGTAACCGCAAAACACACAATTGTGACTATAAAGTACGCAGTTTTTAGGGAAAATGGAACCACCCATTAAATCAGTAAAATGTTACCCATCAATGAGTGATTGTTACTACCGAAACGAGTAAAAGTTATTACTTTGTTAGAAGCAGTTACTACTATTTTTTACTGATTAAATGTGTAGTCCAATTTTTATTCGAAAATGCTTACTTTATAGTCATTATTGAGCATTTTGCGGTTACAGTGTTCCCTCCCTGCTGGTTGTTATCAGAAAAATTAACCACCAATTTTCCATTCCTTCATTTCCCGTCCCTCTGTAAAAAAAAACAGGAAGTCGGTGAAGAGTCGTCCGAGACGGATTCAAAGGCGTCCTCATCACCGTCGTCGGCGTCGGAAATCCTGCTGGCACCGATGTCCGTCCAACCAACCCGCAAAAACAAGAATCCACCGATGTCGATAGCGGCGCTACGGCGTCTCTGAAAAAAGAAAGAAAGAAGAAAACAAATCAAACCAAGCAGATGCGACGAAAGCAATCCTCATACTGTGCTCATTATGGGTAGCATGTTGCCGTTCCGGTTTCGTCTTTTGTATGTTGTGATTTTATTTTACGATTTTTCCAACCCTGGTCATCCGTCGATTTCGGTACACAAGAAGCAGAAAGGTAGTAAGATGCAGAGAAAGAGAGACAGACAGTGAAATATATAGAAAATATTGTGCCAACATCACACAATCACGGAAATGTCCTCGATTTTTTGTTGTGTGGGCTCCAGAAAGGAAGCTTTTGTTTCACCTTTTTTCCTTGGAGATAGGGAATGAAAAGAGGTTGTTGTTTTATGCTTCTTGGGCTGGGCGAGAATGCTACTAGAAACGTGTATAAAGACAAAGAGTGCAGCTTCCCTGAGCATGGGGATTTGCGAGATAATCAGCGAGGAAAGCTTCGGAGAAAAATATGTTGTAAATATTTTGTCCCCCATTGGATTTTTGAGCGAGTGAGAGAAGAGCGCAGCTGTGTAATAGCATAAGGTGAATAGAATTGCTTCTCCTCTTTTATCTGCTAGGTATAAGACCCTCTGTCCTTAGTTACGTATTATCTGTATGTGTACGTCGGTCGTGTGTTAAGCCAGGTGATTATAATAATAGTTAGGTTTTGTGCACCAGCAGAATCAAAAGAGAAAACAAGACAAAAAGACAATAGGAGAAAACGCGTCCTTTCGCGATCTGAGATTTTGAAGTATCAAGAGACTAGACGTAAAAATTTAATGGCATTAAATTCGAGATAGCATACATACATGATAGGTACTGTCAGGTTGTTTGAGTTTGTGCTGGAATGCTTTTGATGTAGACCATTTATAAAAAATATTGTGAACGAGTGAACTGAGCGATAATATAGCAAGATGAAGGGATACTTTTATCCTTTTATGTAATTTTGTGATAATAGCTTTTACATGAACAAAAAGAAATTTCCTACCGGGCTTTAAGTGCTGCTGTTCTCTAGTCGGTAACCGGATATATATCCAGTGTTCAGAAAGTCGCTAAAGCTGAGCTGATTGAGAGGTGGCTGTATTTAATATACTTACCCAATGGTCTAGCGAAGGGGGAGGGGGGAGGGTTAGGGTTCAACACCTAAGATCTAGTCTAGCAGTGATAGTATCACACTTGTTACTCCTTTAATTGAGAGCCGCGTCGTAGTACGCTTACGTATAGGCACTGATGTTGGGTGTGATACTGGCGGGTTTTGCCGCAAATCACTCTTATTTTATTTATTTTTACGCAGATAGATTAATTTGGGTTTGCAAGGGAATTATACTATTGAAATATTTCAGAAAGTGCCCAACAGTGCTCCTTCTACTTGCGTGACAAGCTTTCATTGTTGTTTTCATTGAATTATTACTCAGGAAACAATGTTAAACATCATTTTTGTACATGGTATTGTAACTAATCTTATATGTGCTTCATTTTGATTTGGGATAAGTGTTCACGGCGAATGAGAACGACTCAAATTTGAGTTTTGTTCACTCATAATCGCCAAAAGTGCAGGAACGCAGCGATGAGTTAAATTTGTCTCATGGTTTCCTGTGGAAAACCTAAAAAATCTGAGGAAATTGACGAAAATTTTATTCAGTCTCGGAGTAGTACCAATAGACTGAGTGAATCCAATCTTTACTTTTCTCAAATTCGGGAATTTTTCCCTGGAAAATCCTGGAAAAACCTGGGAAAACATGAGGCAAATTAACTCATCGCTGAGTTCCTGCACTTTTGGCGATTATGAGTGAACTAAACTCAAATTTGAGTCGTTCTCATTCGCCGTGGGTTTGAACTATGGCTCGGGATTTCCACTGTGGTGTGCTTCTATTGTGACATACCCATATGTATTTTTGTGGTGCCACATAGTGGAAGCGTGAGAGCGTAGTTGGAACATTTACCCTATACAATATACAATTTAAAATTACCTTGGAAACTAACTTCAAAGTGAAGCATTTGAGTCACTTGAAGGTGTCATCTGGGACGAACAAAGATATAATTAATATATGTAAAAGCCAAAAGTACTTGAAACACGTTAAATTGTAGTTTAAAAGCATGGGTTATGATTGTGTAGGTAGATTAGAGATTTCAGTTATTTATTAAATAAACTTCAATTATAGAATTCAGAAAGTTAATTAACATAAGAGATAGGACGCGGGGGGTCCGCTTAGGGAGGCGACTAGCCTATGAAGTTGTATAATAAATCTTCCTATTTAGTGTATTTGTTAATTACAGACAATGTCAATAGCGAAAGTCATATCTTCAACCAGGCGCTTACGAACAAGTGAAGTTTTAGGAAAGATGTGTTAAATATGTTGATAGGTTTGAAATAAGAATTAGGATTGTTGTGCTTTAGTTTTCGGTAAGGTATGATGTGTCAACAATGCCCTTTTGAGCAAATTTTCAAACATCAAATTGATTGAGTGATTTATTGAAAGACATTGCGTTGCGAAAATTGACAAGTCATACATCTAACATAGTGGTAGCAGCAGTGTCGCATAATCTTATCACAATTGCTGCAAATAGTGCTGGAGGGGCCGGCAGGGCTGAATACGGATCAAAACTAACATAACTACTAACACTAAAATGATCCCGGAACTAACACTTATCCATTGCACTTTTAGTTATATATCAGTTTTATTTTTCTACTGAGTCATCTATGCCTCTTTCTATTGTTTGGATCAAGTACAACTAATACTAATCTACCTTTATGTATGTTTTACTCCCTTTTAACCCATTATCTTAATGAATGGTGAATCATATGACGTGAGACACGTACAAGCTGAAACTCAAAGAATTACTTCGAACAGGATGTCAAACAAATTCAGGACCAATCCAAATGAGACCAGAAACCAACAAGGCATCGGGGAGTTATATATTCTGGGAGAGGTATTTGATAAATAATCAAAAAGTGGTAAGTTAAAATCAGAGCCAAGGATCATGAGAGGTAATTGTCAATAATTCATTAATTAGTAGAAATCTCGATAACTTTTTCAAGGGAGCGTATCGGCTTTTGTAGGTGGTGCGTTTGGTCGTCGATTTGGCTTAACTGGTGGCTCGCCCACGCGGGCTGGCACTATCATCAGATAGGTGAAATTTTCCTCTACCTGCTGGTGGTGTTGATAAGCGTGTGCGAGCTGCCGGTTGCGCCGGATCGACGATCGGATGCATTGTTTGCAGGAGCTGGTGCTTCCCTTTGAAAAAGTAATCGAGAAATAACCATATTATCCTATAATTGATATTACTATTTCTATATCTCAATGAAATTAGTCATGACAGAGTAACAGATGGGGAAGGACAATAGACACAAGTTGACACAATAAACAAGACAAGTGGGGGTTAATACACAAGACAAAATGACAAAATAAGTGACGACAGCAGACAAGACTGGGACAAAATCAACCTTAAAAAAAAGAATGCGCAATTATATTATCAAAACTATTTGGATCAGCACAAAACAACAGTGACCAAACGGGCACCATAGCCTAGGAACGTCTGTGTGTTGATTTAAAATAGAGGCTCATAGAAGCAAAATTTATCAATAAAAGGGGTCCAGTGTAGAGTTTAAGCAATTGCTGCCACTGGATCACTACAAAAAAAACTAAGTGCGGGTTGTGCTTAATAGGCCGTAAATGGGGTAGTTAACCCTATTAATTCCAGCAGTAATATTCATAAAGTATTGAATAAATTTAAATATTTAATTTTAATATCTTGTAGATATTTTTGGATTCCCCACAAAAGTTTCTTTCGACCTCTCTGGAGGTTTTTCTTTTCACCTTGTTGAAGAAATTTCATCCAACTACTCCAGGAAGCGACCTCCTGCAAGATGACCTTGTCAAGCTGTACTGGGACCGCACCAAACTCACGGATCCCTGCATTCATTGCAATCGTCCAGACGTTATGGTTTACGACAAAACATTTGTCATCACTGACGTCGCCGTTCCCCTGAACCGTATCCTGGATGAAACGCACGGTCACTAAATCGCCTAATACATACTGTCCATTTTCCGGGATTACTACGAAAGGCCGGAGCACAAAAGGCCGAAATACACAAAATTTGATGCGGTTTTTGTACAAGCTTTTAGAGAAAAACCTTATGTCACACCACAGAGAACAGACATCCAAGTCAAATTCGTAAAGTGTGTAAGAAATTTAACTGCTATTTTGAATAGACATTTGAAACTAGCAGTATCGTGGTGGCGCTAGTGTCGCTGCCTATCGACTTCGACGACCAACAGACGTCATCTTAACATAAATGACAACATTGTTGTGAGAAAATCATTGTTTGTTTAAAACCGATCAAAACATGGGTCGCAAGTGCGAGTTTTATTGGTGCGCAAGTAAACAAGGTGTTACCAAGCGAAAATCTTTTGACAATTTTCCTAAGGATGCTGAATTGCCCGAACTACAGGAGATTTTCTTCTCACGTGGAGTCCAAGCGTTTGCTACGAAAAAGTTATGTTCCGACCACTTCCCCCCGGAGGTTTTTCGAATTCCTGGAAGAACGAATGTAGGGTAAGCAGTGTTCAAATGTTACCACATTTTTTTCTGAATTTAAATGAGGGCCAATTGGAGTTCACACCCTCACTGAATCATTTATTTATTTATTTATTTATTTATTTATTATAATCTTAATTCATCTGACTTTTGGTTGTCTTAATGAATAATCTAAGTTTAAAAGGATGCTTAGTCAATCTATACATTCAGGACATTCTTCTGATAAAAACAGTTAACGGTACATTAAAATCGAAGCAAGCATAAGCATCATTAAACGCATTAGCCACGGCGCGGATAGGCTCATTCATCCCATACTGTCGGTTACGAGTCGCAAGATGAACGAAGTTACGTTGTCTCATTACTCTCTCAGGTGCGTAGAAGTAGAGCTGCCGAAGTAGTTGTGGGGAGTCAATTTCACCGATAATAATCTTAGCGGCAAAGACAGCTTGAGCATTACGTCGTCTTGTTTCCAGGGTAACAATCCCAAGCAGGCGGCAGCGGTCCCCGTATGAAGGCAAGTTAGATGCATCACGCCAGGGTAGATGACGTAGCGCGTAACGAACAAACTTCCTTTGTACACTCTCAAACCTTGCAATCCAGCAGGCCTAATAAGGGCACCAAACGACAGCACTGAACTCCAAAATAGAGCGGACCAATGAACAATACAATGCCCGCAGGCACAGCGGGTCACGAAAGTCTTCGGAGATTTTGAATATAAAACCAAGCTGTCTGTTGGCTTTGTTCAGGACGTCATTGTAATGGGGCTTGAACGTCAATGCACAGTCAAGAGTAACTCCTAAGTCTCTGACTTGACTAACTCTCTCCAAAATCTGGCCGGAGATGGAATAATCTAATCTGATCGGTTTCTTCTTACGGTAGAAGGATATCACATTGCACTTATTGATGCTAAGCGTCAAGTAGTTACGGGAGCACCAGCTTTGCATATGATCCACAATCTGTTGCAAATCCTCACAATCAGCGATGCTATTGATGATCATGTACATTTTAACGTCGTCGGCGTAGAATAGTCGGCATCCAGGTGGCAGTAGACGAGAAAGCTCATTGATAAACAACGAAAACAAAAGCGGTCCCAGATTACTTCCTTGTGGAACACCGGAGATGTTCGTGAATACTTCAGATTGCGAGGCGCCAATCTTAACGCAGAGCGAGCGGTCTGTGAGATAAGACGTGAACCATGAAATCATGGAGTCAGAAACGCCAAGTTTTTCAAGTTTGCCCAGTAATATGCAGTGGTCAACTCGATCAAATGCAGCCTTCAGATCAGTGTAAACGGCGTCGACTTGTCCACCAGAATCCATGGTCCGAACGCAAAGTGACACGAATTCAGTCAAGTTTGTCGTAACTGACCGCTTTGGATAGAATCCATGCTGAGCCGTGGAAATGT